AAGTCGAGGGTCCATTTTGTAAGATGCCGCTGACATATCGATGACTCATCTGGTTTAGGTCGATGTTATCTAGTGCCTTCCCTTCCTTCCTTACGATCCAGTATAATGTCTGCCATCTTGTTTTGTCTCTTTGGTAGTACCCAGACCCTTGCATCACAGCTAGATCGCTCGGCCCCTAGCCCCACTGAAAGGACCTTCTCGATTCGCTAAGAGGCTTGAAGGAGGCTAAACATAAAAAAATCATTTCCAAACGGATGCAGTAGCATCTTCTTGGTTGAATCAATCGACGGACGATCGAAAAAGCATGACAAGACCTCGAAACAAACCGTCAGATCACCAGACAAATTAGAGTAGACGATCGAAGCAAAAGCATACATGAGTCACATGTAAATATATACCACGAGGCGAGCGTGACGTCATACGTTTACGAAATCCGACCTAAGATAAGAGGGGGAAGACAATTTTCCACGGCGTAGAGAGAGGGTGAGTTTTCGGTGTTCAAGTAACAAGTCAGCGGTAGTTTTCAAAATGAAGAGAGACTTCCGGTTAAACCAAACAAGCGAGATCAAGGTTTTCAAGCGACAATTATGAATTCCTCTGTGGAGGAATGCTTTTCTTGTAGGAAATTTTGACAATGTTCGTTGTTTGAAGACGCGGAAAGTCTAACTGATTTGATCCACAAATATCTTTCTTTGAATTCGACCTCGTTCATTCAAACATAAACAACACAGGGGGAGAATTTTTATTCAGTGTCCCCAGTCTCCCAGTCACACCTTTGGGATGTCCTAATTCAGTAAAGTTATTTTTAGAACTATGCGGACCATACGGAAACAGTTTCCGGTGAACTGATTGACTTCCGGAAGATTCAGCGCGCCAAAGCGAGGCGGGGTCAATAAATGAAAAAAATGGCTGCCTAAGTGGAGGGACGATGTGGAGGGTGTGTACTTGATAAATTGGCCTTCTTCAACGAAGAACCTACCATAGAAACTGGCTGAAACTTCTACACAAACGGATCCTTTACAAGAAATGTTAGAACTACAGTTAAAGCGACCGCGTGGACCATCGTTTTTGTTGGAACAGCTCGAAAGAGGACAAGTAGCATTGCGGCCCGTATAAGCGTTGAACACAAAATGCGCGGGTCCTACAAAGACGACCGTACAAGCGACCGTGTGGACGTATTTTCTGTCGAAAGACGGAGGACAAAAACGTATAAAGGTTTCGAGTACTTTTCTCGACGACATGACCAGCAATCATGTGGAAAACACCTTTTCCTGCTTTGACTGATATTTTGTACCGTGCTTCACATTGGACAATTAACAATTAAGCACTTTAATATTCTTGAACACGAGGTGAATAGAAGCGGAATATTCGCGGCGAGGTTAATATTCCAAAGCCACTATTCACCAATGTTAAAACTCAGTATGGAGCCCATTTAAGTTCATGTGATTGACGGTTTTCACGGATCAATTCATGTGTGAAAATCGGTATGTGCAAAAGTTTGATCTTTACAGAATTCTCAAACATTGCAAATCAAATCGCAGTTAACAAATCCTTTCGCAAACAATGGCCTAATAGCCAGAACTTTAAATTCTGCTTCTCAGCCTGTCAAGAAAAGAAGAGCTTTGTTTTCAGCTGTCGACTCGGCAAGTTAGGGAAAAGGGTTCTGGTGCAGCTTGTGTTGTTCTTCAGTAAGCGCAGACAATGGTGGCCTGGTTGCTCGAGGTAAGGCGCCGTTTCGGACACGGGATCAATTTATGTTCCTGGGCAACCGAACCCGGTTTCTTATAGTCGTACCCGTCGGGTCCGAGTTGATTACCCAGAAACCGGTAAACATCCTTCTCTGTAGTTTTCTTGACACTGAAATCTCGAAATTTCGTAAAGATTTGCTTTTATTGAGCTATTTTGAAAAAATAGCTCATATGTCAGTGGTGTGAGCTTATGTATCTTTGTGGCTTTGTATGTTGGGATGTTTGTTGCAAGAGCCAATAAGGTTGAAGGTACTATGAGTTGATACTTAGGAACCAATGAGATCTTGGCATCTATTTAAGCATGGCATTGGTAAAGGTCGAACAAGGGCACTTTGAGACAGCCATCTTGATCCTTCACATTGTTTTTCGTCTTTTATTACGGGTACAGGTGTTTGGAAGCATTACATAAAATATCTTCATGATTCAAACGCTGTGACCAGTGATGAAGCTGTTTAAGGGTTCATATTTTAGTGTGGATGCGGCTTCAAGACATTTGTGACCGATGCGGCTATCGCGAACGGTACAACGCACGTATTTATGAGTTGTGTTTCACCCGCTTCAAGGTAGAGTATAAAAGATCATATATTTTCAAAGCTCTTCCAGTGATGCAATAATTGATATTTAGATATGGACTTTAATTTGAAAATATGTGGCCTATAAAATGTGGTTTTACAAGTTTGAAAGGCAGCTTATTTTTTTTAAAGCTGTATCGAGTATTGTTAATTCTGTAAACAAGCTTGATACATCCTTCCTGCATACCAAGCATTATAGTTATTGAAACGTATTTTATTTAGTAAAGATGAGTAACTTAAGTAGAAACAATAGCGTTAGGGAATACAATTGGAAGAAGCTAGTTGACACAATAATTAGATATATTTCGGCAGTTTGATAATTTTCTTGGAAGTTAATAAATGTTAGGCTATCAACCCTGACATGGCATGAAACATAATTTAATTGCAGATGTTGTAATGAAGCCGATGTGATTTCTTAAAATCTTTGAGAAAATTTGTAGTAAACAATTTGCGTTTTTTCACGTACGAATTGTCAAAGGGTCAAAGACCAACATCTTCACGTGCAAATTGTGTGCGTGAGTTATTTTTATAATTCTGTTTACCAGATTACCGTGTGATAACTCGAATTCCCTCACGTACGAACAACGAAAGGGGGCAAAGTCCAACACTTTCACGTGCCAGTTGTGTGACTGTAGATCTCATGCAGATTGGCTTTTCACAATAATAATAGTAACTTGAACGTATGAATACCTGTTTCGTTTTGTAACCAATGCCTTAAAAAAGGCTCTTGTCTTTTAAGAAGCAGTAGCTTTTAAAACATGAAGAAATAAGTTGTTGGAGTTAAGGGCTGTTTCACTGAGTAGAATCGCACGTGAAAACGTCATGAATTGTGATGATGCAACCATCTACCACAATGATAAGAATCCTGGTATTTCTTAACTACTCGAACTCGATGAGTCACAATTTGGCTTAAGAAACTCCGAGGAAACCTTAGAGTTTTCCTTCTAATCAACGTTTGGTGAATAGATATTTACCTTACTTTAATAATCTGTTTAACTTGCACCAAATGTAACAGGGAAAGGCAGGGGAAAGTGAATATATAGCATGAGGATCGACGCATCTGAGTATTTCGCGTTTTCATTTACATACGGCAATACCCAATTTCGCACAAAAACCCAGTCTACATTTAGGACGAAAAAGGTAGATTCATCACTCTTGGTAAGGTTACACTGAAGCATTAAAGTTACACTGAAGCATTCAAAATAGCTCATGCACGTTTAACGTGCCTTTTTTTTTGTCATAAGTTGAATTTGATTTCTGGGAAAAATTCGCCTTTGAAGAAAATGTTGAGTTTACAAAACCACCTCTTCTATTCAATTAAACTGTAATTGTCAGCATTCCATCGAGCGAAAAATACTGCTCAGTAAAATTAAACGGAAAACGCTCTTTTGAATACTTTGAAGTCTTTTCTTACCTTCAAAAAAATGGACCCAAGGATTTTAACGAATTCTGAAAGGTTCTTACAGTAAAAAGGATTGTCAAAACACCGACGAGCTAACGCATTATTTACTCGCGAGGCTAAAACACTACAAAGATCACTGAGTGTGTATCGTGAAAACGATTTGCTTGTAAAAGCTTTATTGTGTAAGGTTATTTGTGTTTTTTCATGTTGCAAACGGAGTTGAAATAACTACGACAGTATGATAATCTCATCTGGAGTTTATTTGCTTCATGTGGTTTTACCAAGCCTCATATTTTCCTCATACACCTGTAATAATTGACCTTTACAGATTCTGCACCACATTGTGTAGGTAAGATTTCCATACAACTTCAGACATTTGTTATGTGTGTTAAATAATAGAAGCTTGCTGCATGTAGGGGTTTGAATGCAAATTGTTCCACAGCATAATTCAAGCTTCAGGCATTCATGGATGCATACGACCTTTTCATGTTGTGTTTGCCACTTATTGTTCCAGCAAGTTTTCTCTGTTTTAGTTAGCACTCATGGTTTTAGCTGTCGCCTGCTGAATGTAGTCTTTTCTTTTTTTCGTTACAGAAAGCACTCAAAAGTATTAAGAGTAGTACAATGAATTTAGAGATTGTAAGCCAGTGAATTAGTACAGTGAATCTCAGTGAGCGCTTATTCGAATAAATAAGGTTTATTTGGATTTTTAATTGAAACCTTAAAGGAGGGGTTTGGAGGTTAAATACATGATGTATGGAAATTTGAGCATATATGGCAGGGTTCTCACTAAGTGCCGGCAACCGGCTCAAAAATTGCTACTTTGAGGTTTGAGCCCTGTAGTTTTTGAGAAAAAGGGGTAAAATAGGGAATGAAAGCCTGAAATTGTCTACAATACTCAATTGCTAAGCCGCCTACCGTTACATTATAGCTGTCTACTTTAAAACTTAATGAGAACCCTGTATGGTAGTAGTAATATATCTCCTTGTTGGACATGGGGTCAAGATTTGATTATCAATCTAGAGTAATCTAGCCATCCCAGAAAATTTGGTAATCACGTGACCGACCGACCGACCGTCCGTCCGCACTACAGAAAAACCAATGCAAAATTTCAGGTAGTCTTTGAATGCATAGTTTTTGGCGCGAATACAAAGGGCCGCCCGCGTTTCGTGAAGCATAAACAACTGAAAAATCAGCTTAGTCAACTCAGAAGAAAAAGAAATTTTTCTCATCGGTTGAGCACCGTGCAATTCCGCAATTCTTGATATTTTATTGATTATGTCCTCTAGTTTGGAGTACAGAGATAGAGAGAGGCAGAGGAAACGAGAAAGTAGGCGACAAGCAAGCCAAGCTCAACGGGAGAGGGAGCGGCAGAGAGCTAGAGAAAGACGAAACTGCTCTGACGAACAGCGGGAGAGGGAGCAAGGGAGAAACAGAGAAAGGAGGCGCAATTTTACTGACGAGCAACGGGAGAGGGAGCAAGAAAGAAGCACAGAAAGAAGGCGCAGTTTTACTGACGAGCAACGGGAGAGAGAGAGAGAGAAAAAAGGAGAACTGTACAGTACCGCAAATGATCCCCAACCGCAAATGATCCCGAGACCGCAAATGATCCCCAAAATGGACCGAAAATGATCCTCGACCGCAAGTGATCCCTAAAGTCGACCGCAAATGATCCCATGAAAAGTTGAGGAATGGAATGGATTTTATGGGACTGATTACAAAAAAGGACCGATTATAAAAAAGAAACCTTTATCTCTCGCCTTTTAAAGAAAAAGGGAAGGAGGACGCTACATCTCAGGTCAATTTATACGAGGCGAAAAAAAAATGGAATAAATCTGAAAAGGTATAGTATTAACCGTATACTTCTTCCTTCGCCGATTGCTTCAATTTTCTTTCAAGAATGTTTCGTCTTTTAAAAAATTTAAAACAGGCAGGACGTTACGTAGAAAAATTATTTTAACGCCTAGAAGCTCAACTTTTCTACTGAGGAATACAAAGCCGTGCACCCTCTACCTAACAAGAGCTTTATTGACTTTACTGATCTTTTTGAAAGCGTGAAATTAATCAGCCAGAATATGTCATTTTGATTTTTCTCTGAGGTGTTAATTTTACGTGATAAACAGCAAGACATTTGTTCGTAACTTAGGTGCCCGTTACAAAACAAGACATGATTTAACATAAACACAAGTCAAAACGCCCCCGAACTTATCAATGTCCTCACGTTTCGGTTTATTTCGAAATAGCAACTTTCTTACATCTCATGAACGTGTTGTGAATAGTTATATTAGCGTTTTTATGTATATTCATTTGTTGTGCTTTGCTGAAGACAGTTACCAGGAATCTAAACCTGGTAATGAGAAACGCAAAGCCAGGTAAGCGGTAGTTATCGCGTGACAAAACATCGTAAGAAACCGTCACATTCACGGACTAAAAGAAAATCGCTTATGATTATTCAGATCCAGGAGGCACTTAGGAGAAAATTAAACAACCTAAAACCCTTATTTAGCGGCAATGAAGAGCACTGCATTTCAAAAGAGGTCAAAGGAAATGCTCTTGCATCAAAGGGCAAATCATGCCGACCAGAAACAACAATAACCGCAGAAAATGCGTGTCATGACCTCTCAGTATGAAATAAGCGGCAAAAATCACATTTGCTCAGTCAAAACGTTTTCCTCAGAGGTATAATCTACCCGCCAGAGCCGGAAAAAAGTCATTGGAACAAGCAGCATTTTAGCACGAGGTAAAAGTCGTTTGTTGCCTACCGACTTCGTTTTTACTCTTAAATGATTTTTTTCATTTAGTTTTTATTCAAATATTTATTTGAGAAGTAAAATTTATCTTTTAACCTGACTTATTGTAATAATAAAATCGACACGATGATCCGCTAACTTGAGTCCAAGTCATTCCTATTTTTCTTTCGGGATCATTTGCGGTCGACTTTGGGGATCACTTGCGGTCGAGGATCATTTGCGGTCCATTTTGGGGATCATTCGCGGTCTCGGGATCATTTGCGGTACTGTACAGAACTGAGGCGCAATTTCACTAACGAGCAACGGGAGAGAGAGAGCAAGAAAGAAGCAAAGAAAGGAGGCGAAATTCCACTGAAGAGCAACTGGATAATAAACGAAAAAGAGTAAGAGAAAATAGACGCCAAACTAGCGACGAGCGGCGAAGAAGGCAGCGAGAAACAAGAAGGGAAAACAGGCGTCGTATAAGCTTAAGCTTAAACGAAGACGAACGGGAATAAGGAGAAGGTGAGCGACCTTCTTCAAATTTTTTATGTATCGAATGCAAGGCATTTTTCTAAAAACGTTAAACTCACACAGGGGTTGGCTGTTGTTTTGTTTGTTTAACCAATCTGAGCTTACGTCACATGTCACGCAGTGTCGAGTTTCAGAGAAGATTGAAGTCGGAGACCATTTTTCTCCTGTAGTTTGCTGCGGTTAAGCTGTTTTGACCTGTGTTCAACTTCGATAAAGAGAAAGGAAATTGAAGTTTCAAGTTAACAAAGATATTACATTATAATGCTCATCGATGTATTGATTATCCAATCTTTCTGGTGGGGAAAACCCAAGGTAATCTTAAAATTGTGCAAGTGATGTAATTTCAGCAAGAATTTACATTTGCTTAACCATAATCTGCCTTTTTGTTCTGTCCGATGCGACCGTGCCTTGAATCGCTGAATGAATGAAAACTCCTATCTTGACTGTTGTTTGTCATGTAAGCTTTAAACTTTGGCGCGACTCTGGCCTCCGTGACAGGAGAAAATTATTTAGTGTTAGAGGATCCCGTGAAAGCGTTGTAATGTTTTCTCAAAAGTGTAAAGTTGGGGTATCACTGTTTCATCCTTGTGCCCGGCGGACACTGTAGATTGAGACCGAAAATGTTTTGCCCTGGTTTTCCCAATGCTTGTTGAAAGAGCTCATTTGATGCAGATTGTTCGGGTTCATGCATGCCCGTTGTTTTCTTTGTTCAGGGTAAACAGAATTTAAAGGAGCAATTTGGCTGGCTAATCTCCCTCATGTAATTCAAATAACTTTTCTTTTATAAGTATTTAGGCTTTTCCCTGTTGTAGATTAATCTTCTTATGTTTTATGTAAATTAAAGGGGGCCATAAGCCAGTGTTCGAAATTGTTTTTGCCGGTCGTGTTGACAGGGGAATTTTCGCTTTAAGGTCATGTTTTCTTTTTGACCGGTCAAAAAATTACCTGCCAAACAAATTTTAGCTCGGACCGGTCACAATACAGTAAAAACGCACTAGTAAGAACCTGCATTTTCCCATAGCCTGAACAGGTTCTTAAAAAAATATAGTTATTGGGTATTTTTTCTAAAGTAACATAGGTTCTTATTTTCTGAAGGAAAAAGTATTGTAGGTAAGAGTACTTAATCTTCAATGGGGTGTTGTCTACCAAAGAGATTCTTGAATATTTTTTTAAGTGAAAAGAGGTTTTTCTTATAGATTTAAGAGAATATGAATGTCTTACAAATAAATATAATTAGGCTAAACAGGTTGTGAGGGGGCCTAACTGGCAAAATATAGCCTAACAGCTGGTTCTCAGTCACAGGTTAATACTGTATTGAAAACATTGCACTTTGTCAGGAAAATTAAGACAAAAAAATGTCCCCATAAATGCTCAAAAACTCCTTGTATTGCAAGATGGGGAAATATTGAATTCTAGTCCAAACATAATCATGTTATTACCCATTTTTGAGTGCAGTTATCAAGTTATGTATCGGTCAAATCGAAGCTTCAACATCCCCCCCCGGCAACCCCCTGAGCATTTGACTTTTTTGAAAATTATTGTTCAAATTCCCCCCTACCCGGGCCAAAATGCCGTTCAAATACCCCACACTAGGGTCCATTCAGGTGATCAAATGCCCCCACTCCGGGGACATTTCACAGGCACAAAAATGACAGAAGGACGGCGGAAACGCCTTCACTTGTCGAACAAAATCTTTTACAAATATAACAAAAACTGAGAAACACTGTTAGTGTATTTACTACGAACAAAAGTCTCGTGCAAAGCGGCGGAAATCGCTGCTACAAGGTCACTGAATGCTCAGCTTTTCTTTGTCATGCAACGTACAAAGCGTTCTATAAAAAAAGATTCCACCTATTGAGATTACTACATCATGACCATTTCACTGACATGCATCATTGCTCACCTTATTAATTAACATGATTGCAGTAGGTCAAAGTAGTTGACCTGAGCTTTTTATTTTATTTTATTTTATGTTGTTGTATTGAATCGCCGGTATAGGTATTGTATTTCATTGTACTACTACATGAGAAATTTCTGCAATTTGATTGGCTTAGAGCAGTGGTATTTCAGCTTAATTTGAAATACCTACATGCGAAAATTACAACCTTTTGCGGGTAGTAGTATAAACAAACAATAGCATGATTTGTACGTGTTATTTGGCATAAATACCACTCGTGATATTTCAAAATTGTCTCAAATTTCACGAGCCTAACGGCTCGTGAAATTACGTATAACAATTTTGAAATATCACTCGTGGTATTTATGCCAAATATCACTACTAATCATGCTATTACCTATACAAACACAACAATAAAATACATTCATACATTCAAAGCCTGAATCCAATATTAAAAATTTTAAAATTTAAATACTTCAAATATGGCACACAGCTTGTTTAAGCCCTTTCCTCGTAACCAATTGGCCACAAAAGCACAATCTCCTCTTACACCGCGTCCCCCATGATAGCTCGGCACGCCAAAGATTTTACGTGAAATCGAGGGTGCAGTTCAAATTCCCCACCCCCTGGAAGACTCTGATAATCAAATTCCCTCCTCCCCGGGACGGCAAAGGTGTCAAATACCCGGGGTATGCCCGGGGGGGGCATGTTGAATCTTCGATTTGACCGATACATTATGAAAGCAACATTTCTTTAAAAGACAATGAGCTAGACCATGTAAAAGTAGTTATTTCAATTTTCAGGTACTTAAGAGCGAATGCACAGAAAAATCGAGCAAACCATGGTCACAGCTCAAAACCTAACCTACCCTCATTTTAAGTCTGTAATAAGGTTTTAATGAGTTTATAACACTGCTGAGGTTTAAATTTCAAAATGCCGCCGAGTTTGGGAATTATTTGAGATTTTCGATTTCAACGGTCCGCGGGCCTAAAATTAGCCGCCGAACACGGCAATATAGCCTAGCGACAGAAATGAGCTGACTTTCATAAACGAGCGAATATATTGGCAATCTTCCTCTTAAATCTCAAAAAACAGATATTAACAATTTCTAAACAGCACATTTTTTTAGATTTAGAGCATAAAATATCGACGAACGAGCACAACTTTGAAACGTAAATTGCATAATGTTTATAAATACAACAATTTACCGCTAAAACCAAAATCGAATTTTCTATATGGGGGAATTCTCCAAATCACCCCTAATCCCGCTTACTACCTAATGAGATATAGTACTTCAACATTATCTGAAAGTTAGTCTGGTGTTCTCGCGAACGCTTGTAAAATAGATTGATTATTTTGAGGTTATTTTGCCCCAAACAACCGCTAATTGACCCCAGGGTCAGTTGACACGTGCACGTCACCTTAGTTTTATGCATCGATTTGAGCTCGTTAAAAGGGAGAAACTAACAAGATTTTTTTAATATGTACTTGTTTTAATGAAATACACGCAATCTTCAAAAGGAGAGGCAGTTCAGTGGGTAATGTCTGTTCTTGAGATCTTGTAGATTGTACCATGGCGTCTGCGAGTGGACCTGAGTCTAGGTCTGTTTTCCCGTGACTGCGAAATCAGAATAACATCATGAAATAATTCTCGCTCGAACCTTCGTAAATGAATCCGCTTTGCAGTACCTTACCTGAGATAAAAAGTGGGCCGAATAGGAAAACATTCTAGCGCAATTTGGATCCTTTGCAGCACGTAGTGTATTTGCTAAGCGGCGATGGTATCAGTGACTTTTAATTAGTTACTCACCTCCGATTGCGTGACCAGGAATTTATCGATTGTCTCCTGCGAAAAATAAGTGCACCCAAAGCTTTCGGGATACAGTAAATTCATTTTCCTGTATGACCAGGTGTCCTTTTGTCCTATTTTAAAAGCGGTTAACTAAGATGATTAGCAAACATACTGTCCCACTTTTAAAAATGGTACAGTAACTGAATGTTCTGTTCTGTTCTGTTTCCACCACGTAACTGAATGTTCTGTTCTGAAAACGTGGCCACGCTTGCTGAAACTGAGATTGCTTGTAGGATGAACGGCTATAGTTTGGTATATTCACGAGCGCGTTTTGTCCAGTGAACTGAGTGCTTAGTTTTTCTTAACGAAGGGATGGGGTGGGTCAAGTGAATAGTTCGGGGAACGTTTGCTCTCTTTAGAGGGGGGGGGGTATATTTGTTGATATCAGGAGTTCTGGCCTGGATAGAGTCGTTGTAAAGCTATTTTTGCTTCGGAGTATCGGTTTACCGGAAGCTGAGCAAGGAAAAGTCAAATGGTGCATTTATGGAATAATAATAGAGATTCTCATGGTCTAACAGTGCGAAGATTAGACTTCTGGTAAGGTGGCAACGATCAAGGCCCGCATTATAATTCATAATAATTGAAGGTCATGATGTAAAAAAAGCGACTGAAATGGTGGATGCCATGCAATCCTCTCGGGTGGGGGCGGCGTACCTGGCCTTAAAGGTTGCCCCTGCGACAGAAGGCAAGCATGCCCAGATTGTCCACGGGTTGCTAAATGAGACCGTCCCTTTCTTAGTACCCGTTCCCTGTCTTAAAATTAGACCCGGGCAAATTTCTTGAGATTGCACCATCACTTTGGGCTTAAAGCTTCCAAAGTCCAACAATAATAGCGCATGTTCGCGACGGTTTTTTAAGTCAGTCAAGTTCTTAAACCAGGCCTTAAACGGCCAGTTTTAAGTGTCGATAACAGTTAAAAAGGCATACAAGCCTCATGCAAAAGACAGTGGGAAGGAAGTGCACATCGGTGATGGGGAAAAAGGAGTAGCCCACAGTTATTTAGGGGTGGATCTTTCGAAACATTCTTATACTCTTGGACAGATATGCATTGTTTAAAGTTTTAGACAAACCAGGTGTAAATTTATAGTAACAAACTGTTAAATATACATCAGCAAGATTTTTGCG